GTTTGAATGGGAAGAAAATGTGATGACTTGGTCAAAGACGAAGCTATCATCGAAATGTTCTTAACGAATCTTCGATAATAACCTGCAAGACCCAGGAAACTCTGAACGTCAGACACATTCTTTGGAATTTCCCATTCTAGAATGGTTTTTATATTTTGAGGATCAACCTGAATTCCCTCTGCAGAAATTACATGCCTAAGGAATGCCATGTCATTTAACCAAAACTCACACTTAGACAGTTTGGCATATAGCTTATTATCTCGTAGAGTTTGCAAAACTACTCTCAAATGCTCACTATTTTCTTCATTGGAATTAGAATACACCATTATATCATCGATGAAAATAACTACGAACTAATCTAAATAAGGTTGAAGCATTCTATTCATAAGATCCATAAACGCAGCAGGTGCATTTGTTACACCAAACGGCATAACAATGAACTCATAATGACCATATCTCGTTCTAAAAGTCATTTTTTGAATATATTTTTCATGAATCTTCAGTTGATGATAGCCATAACGGAAATCAATCTTAGAAAATATAGAAGCTCTCTTTAACTGATCAAACAAATCATCGATTATGGGGAGAGGGTACTTATTCTTTATGGTCACCTTGTTGAGCCGTCGATAATCAATGCAAAGACGCATTGAACCATCATTTTTCTTCACAAATAACACTAGAGCTCCCCAAGGTGACACACTTGGTCTGATAAATCCTTTCCCTTATTTAACAATTCTTGCAACTGAATCTTTAATTCACTTAATTCCTTCGGAGCCATTCGATAAGGTTTCATTGCAATCGGTGATGTTCGAGGCATTACTTCAATATGAAATTCAACCTCTCTATCTGGAGGTAATTCTGGTAACTCTTTAGGAATGACATCTAGAAACTCTCTAACTATTGGAATATTTTCTAACCCTTTCTCATTTTCCCTAGTTTTTATCATATTAGCAATGAAACCTTGACATCCTTGTAACAATAACTTCTTTGTCGACATCTTTGATATTACGTTTGCTAACGGGTTAAATCATTCACTGATCACAATCACTTCTAATCCCTCAGAACTAATCAAATTACTCTTTTCAATCTAAAATCAACATTTGCATGATAATGGTATAGCCAGTCTATTCCCAAAATTACTTCAAATTCGTCAAAGGGTAATTCCATCATATTAGCAGGGAATTCAATTCCCTGAATCCTTATGGGAGACTCTCGACACACTCGATTTACCTGAGCACTATGCCCTAAAGGTTTAGTCACTATCAGATCACTACTTGTTGTTTCTAATTGGATTATCAACTCTTTCACTAACTTGCTTCTAATATATGAATAGGTGGAACCCAGATCAATCAATACCTAAACAAATTTATCATACAATTGAAAAATACTTGCAATGATCTCTGGATCATCACGATCCTCTGTTGTCTTAATGTTATAAACCCTGGAAGTTGTGCGTACTTCGTGTTGGGTGGAGGACTCAGACTAATTTCTTCCTCTACCTCTTCCTCTTCCTCTTCCTCTATGGGATACTGAAGCAAATTGTTCCGACTGTGCAGGCTCTCCAGCCATCATTGGATAATCCTAGATAAAATGTCTGGTGTCCTCACATCGAAAATAAGCTCCAGAGACCACTCGATAAACTCCAGTATAGTTATTTCCACAGTGTTGACACTGTATTGCTTGACCCTGATTATATCTCCCAATTCCATACCCTACAGATTGAGTCTTTCTAACTCTCATCTGATTTGATCCTCTGTAGAGGATATAGCTGGCTCATACCTCATCTAAAATTGGAAACTAGAATCTCTACCTCTCTTTGATGGTGCTGAACTCGTTGAAGCATCAATTCTCTTGGATGTTTGAGCTTTCTGTTCTCCAAACATCTTATTCTAAGATCTCTCAAGAGCTTTAGCACGATTGACTACCTCTTGGAACGAAGATAAATTTAGAACTATCAACAGCTCTTTCAATCTGGGGTGCAAGCCCTCAACAAACCAATCACAAGCATCTTTTTCGGTCAAAATAAGCTCGACAGCAAAACCACTTACCTTATTATACTCACTCATATTCATACACGTGCGATTCCCTTACTTCAGGCTAATAAACTCTTGATTCATTTACCTTATGAATTGATCTCCAATAAACTTATGCCTGAACTCTTCTAAAAACAAGGATCATGTCACTTGGTCACTTGTCAATCTCATGGTGACATTTGTCCACCATACTCTAGCTTGTCCACGTAGCAATGAAACTACTCCATCTAACTTCTCCACTTCAGAGCAGTGGAGACCATCTAACATGATCTTCACATCATTCAACCAAAGGTTCGTAGTAATAGGACCTTCTTCTGCTTCACCTCTGAATTCAGGAGCTCCAAATCCTTTCAACTCTTTAGTAATATTCATTCTAGGGATTGAGGAAGCAAAAGCTTGGAAATGCATCAGGATAGCGTCTAATTTCCTGAAGAACACCTCTTGGTTTTGTACAGGCACTCCCTGAGGTGTCTTTACTTCACCTTACCTGGCCAGGACATTTGAATTGCTACTTCCCTCATGCCTATCATCTCCCGCTTCACTTCAGGACCTCTCGTGATCATACTTCTAATAATACATAACCATATAATTATATTAATAAGACAACATACTCATTACTCTATCATATCAGAAGTTTTCATTATTTTGTTGGCATGTATCCTTTTCAAATCACTTTTAACTTTAGTTTATGCCTAGAATCAGCTAAACCTTAGCTCTAATACCATTAAATGTAACACCCCTAACCAGTATCTGAACCGGATACGAATCAAGGTCTCACATTAACTTTTCAAAATCATGTGCTTTTGTAAGATAATTGAAAATACAAATTTATATTAACTAAAACTGAATAATTTACATTATTATAATAAAAAAGGTTTACAAAACCGATCAGAGCATGCACAATTCAATCCTTTAATTGCATACCAACAATATTTAATATCACAAAAAGAACCTAATATTTAAATTGCTTCTGATATGATCTCTGCTGAAGATATGTTATCCCAACTGCCTATCTTGCACTTCTGACTTCTTTGATCCTACATGTGAAACACTCACACGCTAAGTCACGGACTTAGTGAGACATACAATATATAAATGAACCATTGAAACATAAAATCATGTAATTAACATTTATACTTACCATGTAGCACAGAGACAATCATGCATTACATCAATCAAAAACATATAACATCTATCAGGACTTATTCAAGTTCATTGTTTAATAGCCCATGGTACATTACTGAGAACTAAAGATATGTGAGTGTATTGAGGTTGTGCATAAATGTTGTCAAAACATCTCGTATAAATTGCACTGAAGTACCACATAGAATGTCCCGAAGGACTGTGTAGAACCCTCGACTCATGGTATGCCAATTATACCATCAGCTCTCATATAACATACTATGGGCTTTACCATTTATATCATTTATTATACCTTATATCACATAGACAATTAATCACATAGGTCATGTCTTATAGCATATATCACATGTGCATGTAATCACGTAGATCGTATCATATAGCTTATATTTTGTTCTCTTATGCTCACATAGATCATGTATCATATATAAACACATATAACTTATGCATGTACTCATGTAGTCATAATAATCATATCAATCACATGCTTGTATTTATGGAATCAAGCAATCAAACATGGAAAATAGACTTGTTTCAAGTTATGTTTTCCCAAAACACTATATACATAATAGTATGCACTCACCTTGGCCTCACTAGTCCAATCAAGCACATATGAATCTTGATTACTCCTATAACTTTGAATCTTCTAAAACTTGCATTCGATCGATATCTACACAAATATATGGATTATATGAATATCGGATTTTTAATAACTAATAATTAATGACCCAAACTTAATCTTAAAGAGACACTTGATTCACAAATTCAATAGGAATAGTATCGATACCCATGATATAGAACCGACACTTCCCAACTGTGTTATCGATACTACACTTCAATATCGATACCCTTATTATATACTGGAATCCATCTTTAAAAATGGTATTGATACCTTTACTCTAATAATGATACCCTTGGTATCGATGCTACTCCTCTAGTATCGATACTACATTACTGATTCGTTTAATTTCACCATATTGTATTGATATTGTTCTTCCAGTATCGATACACTAACCCAAATATCACCTACTTTTGTTTTGAAGTATTAGTATTGTTCATTCAGTACCGATACTCATTGCCCAGAATTCACTCCTTCAACCCGAACAATTTACTAAAACTTATACAAAATCCATACTCTGAACTCCATTTATTACTTCAAACTCAACTACACTCACACAACCCATCTTATATCACTATAACTCATCATAGTATTCAATAACTCACCATAGCACTTGAAACTAAGAATCTTACTAAATTTTCAATTTTGTTATAAATCTTTTCTAACTTCATAAATTTCTTATTTCTACTGATGACAAGTTAAATATGGCTTAAACATCCATTTACTCCTTTTTTTCCACAAATTCACTTTAAAACCCCTTATATTTAATCATCCATAACTTCTTCAACTTTTAATTATTGATTCTCTATAAGTTTTTTTAAGCTTTTCTAATGCTCCCCGACTCAAAACTACACATAAATCGAAAGAAATAATTGACTAAAAACACTCTTACCTTATCTCTTCAGTTCACGTTGAGATGAGGAAGAAGGATGAAGAGTTTTCCAGAAAACCTTTACTCTTTCTATCCTTTGCTCCACGTGGATATATGAAATACCCATATAAAATTTTTAATTCGTTTACTTAGCAATTGACCATTATTTCCTTCCATCATTCCTTTTTTGCTATTCAGTCCTACATAAAGATGTTCCAATTCAGTCCCTAAACTTTTCAATTTATCTAATTTGATAACTAAATCTTAAAAGTTTACAATTTGGTCACTAAATCGGTGTTTATGATGTTACTTACATGGTTTGATAAACCATGAATCTCTAGGGCTCTGATGGAGTAGGAGATGTTGGTTGCTTCAAATAAGGATACTACAAAAAAAGAATGGAGACATTAAGAAATGTAAGCATTTTTATTTGTTCATGAAACTCTAGGATTATATAAATCAGAATAAGGAGAAATGAGAATTCATGGACTAATAAAAGTTACATTACACAAGAATATGGTGAAAGTGGTCTAGGGAATCTAAAGTTTCCATCAGCCTTGGATTCTGTTTTAGGAACTGAATTAATTAGAGGGGTTACTGCTGTTGCTTCAACTTTTGGCTCCGGTTTTGCCTCTGTAGGTGAAAGAGTGGTCTTGCTAGTGGTAGGCTATGATGGAGTAGGCGACGTTGGAGGCTTCAAATATGGATACTGCAACCAATAACAAAGAAAACTTTAGCATTTCACCACTTATAATACAAATATATACAATAGAAAATGAAGTGAAAAAAAGGACAATAAAGAAGCATATGGTTAAAGTGGTCTAGAAATTCCAGAGATTCCATTTGCCTCGACTTTTGTTTGGGGAACCGATTTAACTTGAGGGGATTTTGCTGCTGCTGGTTCGACTTTGGGTTCAGGTTTTGCCTCCGTAGGTGCTGGAAGAGCTTTGCTAGTAGTACTTGTTGGTAGAAGGGCCACTCCAATTTGCTGAGTTCACAGCTAAATGAAAATATACAGAATATTTTCATAGAAAAGAAGCAATGTTTTATTATTGAGAAACTATGAGAGGCATTGAAAGAACACATTGTGCAATAAATTTTCTTTGGAGATACCTTCACGTCGTCAACAAGTTCCTTAGGAGCCAACTTTGTGTTTAAGAATTCGTCAACTTGTTGCAGAGTTTGCTTTCGGTCATGTTACAAATAGCATAGTAGAAACTAGGAAGTCAAATTAAGACATTAATGTACTTGGGGTGCTAGAGAGTAAGATTGAAGTATTCAAAATTTGTTCATAGCCATCTTGTTACAACTTAAATATAACAGTCGGACAGTTCCCTATGAGGTTAAGCTTCTCAGACAATCGGTCACTTGATTTAATAAGGTATCGAAGATCCAGAGTTCAAATTCTAGACCTAGTGTATTGTTGCATAATGGACTGTACAATGCTTATTAATCTTTTTTCTGATTGCGTGTTCTTTCAAGATAAATAGAAATTGGCGACTTACCTCTGCATATAGGAGCTTCTGCTAACAAACTGCACAATAGCAGCTGAGCCTAGAAGTTGAAGGATTGTGTCTAATTGCTGAAGATATGGGAATGTCACAAATTGAGTTGTGTATATATATAAACTTAAATCAAAACAAAATAACGACAAAAGAACAACAAGTACATAAACCTTTCTTCTAACTTGCATTATTGCCACCTTTCTGCCAAACGCATAGTTAGGCATTACTCTTTTATTTTAGAGCAATTTTAACTATAATAATTATTCATAATACCAATTAACTCAATACGGTAATTCACAAACTTATTATAATTTATGTGGGTTGCACACCCATTAACAATACTGAAATTCATAAATTTATTATGAATTTATTAGTTTTGTATACAAACTGCTCATACGAAAATTCATAAACTTATTATGAATTTCTTAGTTTTGCACATACATAAAGTGCTTGTAAGGAAATTCATAAACTTAATATGAATTTTTTTGTACACACAAAGTGCCCATACGAAAATTCATAAACTTATTATGAAATTCTTAGCTTTGCACACAAAGTGCCCATATGGAAATTTATAAACTTATTATGAATTTCTTAGCTTTGCACACAAAGTGCCCATATGGAAATTCATAAACTTATTATGAATTTCATAGTTTTGCATACAAAGTACCCATACAAAAAATCATAAACTTATTATGAATTTCTTAGTTTTTCACGCATAATTTCATTTGGTAATCACCATACATATATTAAGAAACATGTATATATATAACTATAATAACATATAAGAACATAATAAATGCACTCACCCGGCTTGCCTCGTTGTTATACCCAAAATGCAAATCTGACTACTTACCTACTTTATCTTTGCCTTTCGTTTTGCTGGACTTGAGAGTTTGATTATGATCTACATAAGTATCCATTAAAGATATATACTATACTAAATGTTAGTATATTCCCTAACATTTATACTTTAATAATATTCACAAGTACTATTATTTAAATTTCTATAACAATTTCAGCTTATTTTTTAATTTCTGTCTCAATAGTATCGGTACCCTTACCATGGTATTGATACTTCTATAATGTGGTATCGATACTCCCTTACAGTATCAATATCATTCTGTAATCAATGGTATCGATACCTTCTCCATAGTATCGATACCCCCTCTCAGTATCGATACTAATTACATCAGTATCGATAATGTTCAGCTGATTCTTCCAATTTTAAGCCTATAGTATCGGTACTGTTCTATCAGTACCGATACCCTTACCCATATTTTTCATTTTTCAGCCTGATTCTTACCCAAATTTGGTTAATTATCCTTATGTTTACTCCCAATAATACTATTAATTATTTCTTTACTTATCCATACTAACTTTCTTTCATTTAGCTTATTACAACATCTAGAATCTTCCAAGAACATTTTTATCTAAGAATCATACCATTTTTTCTAACATGTTCTTAATCCCAACCAATGCTTCTAATCTCCTATTTACTTCTTTGACAAGTCAAATATACCACTAAACACCAATAAAAATGATATTCTAACATATCATTCAAAAACCCATTTTCTTAAATCTCAATTATTTCATCCATCTCTTAGTTTTAATCTTATTTCATCCTTCCTTAACCCTCTATGATGCTAAAATATTTCAAAAAACAAACCAAAAACTAAAGGAAAAACTTGTCATATGGAACTTTACCTTTGGATATAGAGGAGAGCTCTTTCACGGGAAAGAATGAGAGAAAGTAACTTAGGTTTTCCCCTTTTTCCATACTTTAATAACTTATTAAAATGAATATTAAATTCATTTCCCTTTAAAAGACCAAAATGCCCTTTTTACTCATCTATTGTTACAACTTAGTCTCAAACACTATTTCAAATCATTTTCTCATCTTTTATCATTTATTCAAATAAATCCTCAAATTTTAAATCTTTTTTATAAAGCCACTGACCTAATATTTGGGGTATTACAGAGATGGCTTGGACGGTTGATGTTAGGGTAGGTGTGTGAGCTAGAATATGAGTGAAAATGATGAAGGGGTTGGTTTTGAGTGATGATGGGTATGGTAGTGGTTTAAGAAAGAAAGGGATGGCGATGGTGGTGATAAGACGATAGTATCTTAAGAAAAACTCAAAGAATAACCTATACTAAAGAGTATAGATCCAACCTTTATATGTTTTCTTAACGAGTGGTAAACAAGGACTTGGACCACTAGATATAAAGATATAGGAACCACAAGTATCTATGGAAAAGTAGAGTTGTTGATGCCACAAGTATTGCTACTTGATAACTCAATAAATTTACAAAATGACTAAGGAAAATAGAATAACTTTAATGCCCCAAATCCCATGTCACGAGTTCGGGCTAAACCGATAAAACCTTAAAATAAACCTATTAGCTTGTAAGAAGACCATGACCCAAGTTGAATGGATTTGAGCTTGCTTGAGCTCAATATGAGTTTAAAAGGGGACACCTTTATAATGGAGTTAAGACTTGAGGGACAAAGGAAACAATTTACCCATTTTTAGCAACAAAAGCTGAATTCTTTTTATTGTGCCTATCTCACCTATTGATTCCTCTTTTCTTCCTCGTCCATTTTGTCATCTTCTTCATCTTTCTCTCATTTGCTTTCTACTTTAAATCATAAAAGGTGTAAACTTGGTAGCTTGTCAATCATAGTTTGGCATTAAAAGGTAATAATCGAAATTAGCACCTGTAGAGCTTCCATTTGAGACCATAAGATCATGCTTTGGTCATGGTTTTCAAAACATGGATTTTAGTGGGGTTTGGGAAACATTAGCTACTTAACCCGTTTTTGAAGGATTTCAACTTTAGGAATTTTTTTTAATACCTTTCTAACCTCTCAAACAAGTTATTATTTCATTATTTTATCCTTATTTAGTGAGAGAAGTAGGAGAAAGCTCCAAAGCTAGAGGAAAGGAAAAGCTTGTTCTTGGTTAACCTTGATGTGTCATCCAACAACTTAGAATCAAAGTTTACACACTTCTAACTCAAGTCTACCACATGTAGATCATTAGATAAGTTTTTATAGGTTGCATGAGTTACGAAGCATGTCTATGGTAGATTATATATTTTGAAATTTCAGCATGTTAAAACCCTTTTTATGATCCTTTAATCTTACGTAAGACTTAAATAATAAATAAGAACCTCTATAAGACGTTTGGGCTTGAAGTTTGGTATTTTTCGTGCCCAAAACATGGTATTTTTGGGCAAGAGTATATGTATTGAAAGAATAATACTGATATTATTCTTCAGCAAAGGTAAAAATAGGAGAGTTTGGGAAGAAAATATCGATACTCATTCAGATTGTATCGATACTACGGGCCCAGTTTGATACCAACAGGGTGGTATCAATACTGGAGACACAAATCAGATTTTAGTAACCATTTTTGGTATCGGTACTCAAGGATGTATCAATACCCAGGGTAGAGTATCGATACTCCCATTATGAGTATCAACACTGAGGTGTTTTTCAAAACATTGAACCTAATTTTGGTATCGATACTCTAGCCAGTATCGATACCCCAACACCAGAATATCAGCCTTATTTGACACTCGAGAAACAACCAAGACACTCGAGTCTCTTTAGCAGAACACGAAAGTAGGTTGGATATCCAGTCAGTGCCAAGGCACTTTAGTTATCAACTAGGTGCAGATGCCCTAAGACTCGATGGCATAAGTTAACGGGTGTACATTTTCAATGTAGCTCCAGATCTCACCCAAATACCTTCAGAAATCCTAGATGGGTGAGTAAGCTCTAAGATACAGAATCCTTAGTTGCTCCATAATTCATACCTCAACTTGTTATATTAGTATTTATATGTCTTCATACCTATGGCACTTGTATACTCGTCTAGAAAATGCATGTAGTACAATATAATTATTAATGTGGCCATGAGCTAGAAAGCTTAGCGTTCATAATGTGTTTCTGTGCCCATGTTCATAAGTGATCAATAGGCTGCATTGTCATCGACAACAGTTCCAGATAAGTCGAGGCATTCAGAGTACATCTTGAGTCATTCTTAGAGGGCATGCACTATTTATGGACCATTATGTATTAATTCATAACTCTTTTGATTTAAACTCAGTATTGAATTATTTTTGGTATATTTTGGGAGCTCTCCATAGTTTATAAACTCACACTATTATCATGTTTTATTTTTTTACTATATATGAAACTATAGATGGAATTTTTATCAGATGATTTTGCAATCAGTTTTAAAAGAAAAATTTTGGGTTAGCCACTTCAGTGGTCCCATATGATATTCTAATCCATTAATCTTTAGTTTGTATTGAATTAGGGTGTCATATTTAGTTGTATCATGGCGTCATGTTTAGTCGTTTCGAGGACCCACAAGTTAGAGTCAGTTAGCTTCTATACATGTACATGCCTCTAGAGAGTCAAGAGTACCATAATGATTGAAATTATGATAATGACATCTATTTCTTTTTAATTTTAGACAAAACATATGGTTGATGATATAATATATAGTCAGGATAGTAGGGACATGACTCATGCATCCCTAACAACTGATACTAGTAATGAGTTTGTCCCAGATATAGATCAGCCAGAGATACCAATAGACGCGGGGGTAGAGGAGGTGATATTCTTTAAGGACATCACTCTGTACTTAGACAGATTGCTAGGTCCTTACCTAGTACTTTGGTTGTACCACCTCCCCCACTAGTACTCGCACCTTAGCCAGCGATAGTACCCTAAGAGTCCCTAGTAGAGAGGCTTCGTAGATAAAAAAATCTCGTAGTTCTTTGGTTCAGGGGATGATGATACCATAGCAAAAGATCAACTGCTTATTGATATGCTCTGCACCTTCAGATATTTCCATCTTACCTTATATGGTAAGCTTTAAGTGCATCATCGCCCTACTTAAGGGTGATGCCATAGATTGATGGGAGGTCATAGAGGTGACTATAGAGCAAGAGAGAACGATGTAGGAGAAGTTCTTTTCAGAGCTCAGACATAAATATACCAGGGAGGCTCACACCGATGATTTGATAGAGCAATTTGTTCACTTGGTTAAGGGGGTCTGGACATTGATGGAGTATAAGTACGAGTTTCTTTGGCTGAGCAGATACGTACTTGACTTGATCTCTACAAATGAGCATTGTCGTCTGATAACTTTCCAAAAGAGTTATCATTAGGATCCCTTTTACCTAAGTATAGTTTGAACTTGAGCAT